AGGCACTGTGTGAGGAGAGCGTTGTTTTGCGACAACGTAAAATAACCCAACCTGTTAGTTGAGAGGTTGGGTTGAGGGTCGCCGAACACCGGGAGGAACCCACTCCAGTCCCTGCCTGATGGGTGAGTGGGCAGCTAAGTCCCTCCTCGAGGTCCACCTTGGTAACGAAGATACCTGAGGTTACCTTGAGGTGCTTCCGGGGCTTAGCGTCCCCGCGGTCCGGTCGTCGTTCAGGCCTCCTAGTTGCTGGACTGATCAACCAGGCTGTTGGACGCGGCTGCTCGCAGCCTGACGTATGAGTCACAGCCTGGTTGATCGGGTATCTTTTGGAGGTGTTTATCAAGTTCTCTCTTGAACACTGTGAGGGGTTTGCCACGCACACACGCACGCGCGACACAGCAATACACAATAAATAATAAAGTCTTAATCCAACACGCACACACGACGTGACGGCAAGGTTGTAACAACGTATAGTAACAAATTGTGGTGACGTTGTGTGCCGGGCAACGTGTGACGTCCCGACACGTCGTCAGGCCGGAGATGTGACGTGTGTGTAAGAGACAATGTTGCTACCAACACTGTGCAACACAGCGGAGCGCGCCAGGCTGCGGAACACGCGAGAGCTCCGACCCTCACACATTGAAAACACGGCAACTTTTCTGTTGCTGTTGTTGTTATTTGCGAGACAATGGAAGACGGGCCGGAGCGGCAGACAGAGACTGGCGGCATGCATGTTTATCTTAGCTTTGTGCTGGAGGAACGGTGTTGCAGGCGGGCACTGATAACATTGTTTCGGTAATTGAGAATAACATTCGTTCTCTTGCCCATCAGACGTCCGTTGCGGCACTCACGACTCTGCCTATCAGAAATAATGCGCATCTATCAACTCTTAAAACAATATCGCACCGAATCCGACAGTCGAACACCTTCACGACCTTCCAGCAGCCAGGGAACACAGACCAGCCGCGCACCCAGCCTCGCGGCACCATTCCCGCCCCTGGTCGCTCCTGCCACAAGGTCGGAAACCATACCTCCAGGGAACCGTTGGGTTACGCCCCGTTATCCTCGCACGATTACGATGAGCGATAAAAAGATGGCAGCACAAGTCTTCATCAGAATACAATGGAACGCAGGCTTGGCGGGAAATAAATGGCGGGTAAGGGTGTAGCCTAATTTCGCAAGCGACCCGACGCAGCAGTGGGTGCCTGCGTCGGCGGAGATACCTGGACGGGTCTCCCATGAAGGCTGCTGTGGGCGTGGTGGCGGGGGCATGGTGGGCGTGGTGGCTAGAGCACAGTAGGTGTGGAGGTATGGGCATAATAGGTGCGGAGGCGGGGGCATAGTGGTCACGCCCCAGTACACAGTACACATGTACTAGCCGGCGTGCAAGAAAGTGTTGGATCACTTACACAGAGGTGTGTGTAATAACAGAAGTAGAGTACACTGTAGCGCAGTGGTCTACCTCCTCGGATTACAACCGAGCGTCCTGGTTATTGCCCTGTGCAGGACAGGAACGACTGGCACGTTTCCTTTCACCTGGTGCCTCTGTTCACCTAGCAGTAAAATAGGTACCCGGGAGTTAGGCAACTGTTGTGGGATGCACCACGAGGAAGGTCAGTAGTTATGGCCTGGGAGCTGGATAAGCCTGAGCACAGGCTGCGTGTCTCCGACACCGGGAATTACAACACAAACACTACATCAATACAACGAAGATAAATCACAATTATGCATTAAGCAAAATATATACATCAGTTATATTGTAACCTGAGGCCAGATTCACGAAGCAGTTACACAAGCACTTACGAACCTGTACATTTTTTATCAATCTTTGGCGGCTTTGTTTACAATTATTAAACAGTTAATGAGCTCCGAAGCACCAGGAGGCTGTTTATAACAATAACAACAGTTGATTGCAAAGTTTTCATGCTTGTAAACTGTTTAACAAATGTAACCAAAGCCGCCAAAGATTGAGGAAAGATGTACACGTTCGTAAGTACTTGCGTAACTGCTTCGTGAATCTGGTCCCAGATCAGTAATATCTGGTAAACACGGCCAGGAGTCACCAAGTATTCCCACAACCACTTACGAAACCTGTACATCTTCCAACAATCATGGCAACTTTGTTTACATACACTAAACTGTTCATGAGTTTCGAAGCACCACGAGGTTGTATATATATACAACAATAACTTTGGGTTGTGAAGTTTCCTAGCTAGCAAACTTTTTATTAAATGTAAACAAAGCCGCCATTATTATGGAAAGATGTAGAGGTTTCGTAAGTAGTTGCGTAAATGGCTCTGAAATTTATCGTTAACTCGTTAATTATTAATAAATACGTGAGTTGCCAGTTGTTATCTTGAGTTGGATCTATGATAGTATTGATGTGATTATTATTTTCGTACTTACAAGAGGTGTGGCTGAAATATTAAAGGTAGCTGTGGTAGGAAGCACACAATATCGCAGTAAGTGTACAGCTTGGTGTGAGAATATTATAGATGTGTGTGTGGTAGTGTTAATGCCAGATGTTGACTTGTGGTGTCCTCTATCTATCTATCTCTCTCTCTCTCTCTCTCTCTCTCTCTCTCTCTCTCTCTCTCTCTCTCTCTCTCTCTCTCTCTCTCTCTCTCTCTCTCTCTCTCTCTCTCTCTCTCTCTCCCTCTTTACCTCCCTCCCTTCCTCTTTATTTTTAGTGTAGGAGTTTTCTAACTTCTTATATATGCTAACTTCTTTATATTTTAAAACCAAGTTCTCCTAACAGTGAGAAGCAAGCCTGCACAATAATATCACATCTCACTACTACTTCAGAATAACACGATAAGACATGTTACTAAAACGCTAAACCTTCGGCGCATCCTGAAATTTCTTTAACACTTGCAAAAAAAATAATATAAAATCTACGAAAAATTTGGCATAATCAAAAACCACATTAAAAATAACGAAGCTCTATCATATAATATTTACGGTGTTGATTTAGGGGTGAGGGCGCCCTGGCTCACCCAAGGAGGCCAGGCCAGGGTCCCGACCCTAACAAGACGACCAATTGGATGACTGCGGCAACCAGCGGAAAGATTGATGATATTCTGGTGAGAGATATATAAGAATTTTGCACCAAGATTGTAACCTTTTGTTGAACTGTCTGAATGTCTATTGCAAATTGTCTGTGTTCCGAGTCATAAAAGTATTTGTGTATGTCTTGTAACATATTACACGTGTAAAGGAAGAAATGTATATGTGTATCACTCAGAATGTTCGATTATATGTTTATTGTTTGTGACGTGTCTATATATATATATATATATATATATATATATATATATATATATATATATATATATATATATATATATATATATATATATATATATATATATATATATATATATATATATATATATATATGGACACGTTGTACTGAACAGGGTGAGAATAGCTTGAGCTGCCTCATACTTTTATGTGTATTTATACCTCAATAAACTTATTTGAATTTGAAAAGGTGGGTTCGTACGTTCCCATTCTGTATTTTTACGTTGTGGCAAACTGGGACCCCAAACGACATAGGCATCAGGCGTGTACTGACGTTCAAGTCCCGACCTATCACTAGAATCTCGGGGAGGTCCCTGTTAAACTCAACCTCAGGTGGGCAAAGACGCAACAAGGTTGCGTGCATAATAATGTCGGACGACCTAACGTTTAAGGAGCATAACCAAGCAAATATTGCGACAGCCAGAAAAATGATAGGATGGATTACGAGAACTTTCAAATCCAGGGATCCCATCACAATGGTTGTACTCTTCAAGGCACTTGTATTGTCCCGTCTTGAGTACTGCTCAGTACTCACTTCCCCCTTCAAAGCAGGAGAGATTGCTGAAATAGAGGGAATACAGAGAACATATACGGCACGCATAGACGCAATAAAGCACCTAAATTATTGGGATCGTCTCAAAGCCCTCCAAATGTCCTCACTAGAAAGAAGACGAGAGAGATATCAAATAATATACACCTGGAAGATACTGGAGGGCCAAGTACCAAATCTACACAGTAAAATAACAACGTACTGGAGTGAACGACATGGAAGAAAATGTAGAATAGAACCAATGAAGAGCAGAGGTGCCATAGGCACAATCAGAGAACACTGTATAAACATCAGAGGTCCGCGGTTGTTCAACGTCCTCCCAGCAAGCATAAGAAATATTGCCGGAACAACCGTGGACATTTTCAAGAGGAAACTAGATTTATTCCTCCAAGGAGTGCCGGACCAACCGGGCTGTGGTGGGTATGTGGGCCTGCGGGCCGCTCCAAGCAACAGCCTGGTGGACCAAACTCTCACAAGTCAAGCCTGGCCTCGGGCCGGGCTTGGGGAGTAGAAGAACTCCCAGAACCCCATCAACCAGGTAATCAACCAAGGTGTTGCTGTGACCTGCGGGACACAAGCCGCTAGACGCCCGCCATACCCCGAGGGCTCACCAGAAGCTAACCAAGACCCGCCAAATCTCGGCTATGCCGGCGCTGTACATCGTCTCCCCCGGCCGAAGATCCTAGGCGTCATATTAATCTGGGCCGTTGATGACGCTGCCTGACGCCAGACTCGAAATCGTTCAGCGGTTCATCTCTTTGTTGGTAACAGAAAGATGTCATGTACTTCTAAATTCGTCAGAAAATATATTATCATCTCACATTTGTTGATGCACAGTAATGTGTAATGTGTAAGCTAACACATTTATGGTATATTTAGAAACAGTTCTGGGATCTTAACTTCCGGGAATCAAGAAAATTTTAAGCTTCAGCTCGTTCTCACGATCTGAGATGCATAAAACTTGAAGTAGTTCTGCCCAAACTAGAGTCGCGCGGAACTCCAGCGTCGCGCGGAACTCCAACGTCGCGCGGAACCCCAGCGTCTCGCGGAACCCCAGCGTCTCGCGGAACCCCAGCGTCGCACAGAACCCCAGCGCCGCGAGAAACAATTGGGAAACCTCTCTCCCTAGGAGGCCTCGAGCACTTACCTTGGTCACAGAGGATCCCTCCCCAGTTGAGTTCACAGACGCACGACCACGGAGAACCATCACAGTGGCCGTGTTTACATCCTGGGTATGGTCGGCACTCGTCACACTGCTCTCCCGTCCAGCCCAGGCGGCACCTGTACCAGTGAGAGAGTGGTTGGGGTTAGTACGGTCATGATTGATTGATTAAGATTAAGATTAAGCAACCCAAAAGGTGGCACGGGCATGAATAGCCCGTAAGTGGTGGCCCTTTGGAGCCATTACCAGTATCAAGAGCTGATACTGGAGATCTGTGGAGGTGCGACTGCATCCTACGGAGAGGTCGTGACCTCTGTGTGGTCATGGATTGCACTCACTGGGATGTGTCGCTCTTGTATGGATGACAGTGTGGGTACTGGGGCACCAGCTAACATGGTGGGTATTGCTGTATGATAAGTTGTCTATATGAACACATTGCTGTACCAGGTGTTGCTAATGTGGTCTTGGACATGTATATGAGTGGGATTGGGTGGTTATAGATAGGAGCTGCCTCGTATGGGCCAATAGGTCTTCTGCAGTTACCTTTGTTCTTATGTCTTGTATTATGGCTGTAATGATGCATGTTTGGAAGTGTCATAAATGGTGGTTAAAATATTGCAACAATTAGCATTATATACAGATGAATGATGGCAACAATAACACCAATTGCAAACTGAAATATTAGTGAATATTTACATAACTCATTGCAAGACAAGAACAACATTTTACACATATATATCTACAAGAAATAAGCCTTAGATTAACACAATACAAAACTAATGACAATTTATAATAATTTATTTGCAATTGCTTAGGAAGGACATTAAGTAGAGGCAATGGTGCACACAATTCCCGCTGGGTACACATGGCTCTCACAGTCATACTGACAAAGGGAATCTTTAATTAGGATTCCGGAAGAACCAGATCGAGGTCCTGGAAGTCACAGTGCCAAAGGGAGTCTTTAGGGGAGTTGCTGGAAGATCTAGACGACCCCTGGGAGTCACTGTGCCAAAGGGAGTCTTTAGGGGGGGTTGCTGGAAGATCTAGACGACCCCTGGGAGTCACTGTGCCAAAGGGAGTCTTTAGGGGGGTTGCTGGAAGATCTAGACGACCCCTGGGAGTCACTGTGCCAAAGGGAGTCTTTAGGGGGGGTTGCTGGAAGATCTAGACGACCGCTGGGAGTCACTGTGCCAAAGGGAGTCTTTAGGGGGGGTTGCTGGAAGATCTAGACGACCCCTGGGAGTCACTGTGCCAAAGGGAGTCTTTAGGGGGGGTTGCTGGAAGATCTAGACGACCGCTGGGAGTCACTGTGCCAAAGGGAGTCTTAAAGAGGGTTCCTCAAGGAGATAGACAATGACACGGAAGATATCAGTGACAAGGAGAGAGAGAGAACGTGGCAGTAACTAGTGACAAGGACAGAGAATGACATTTTCAATGTCACTCATGACTCCCAGTGGATTGACCAGCACGCAAATCAACACATTATCATATATATTATTGTCTTGGTGTTGCTGGCACATGTGAGCAGCGAGAGGCAGGGGAATTTATTATGGTGTTTACCTGCACGGAACACAAAGTTAAACCGGAAAAGTGTGTATTTATGTAGTTTGGTCAGTCACTGTGAACGCGTATCTCTATCACACACACACACACACACACACACACACACACACACACACACACACACACACACACACACACACACACAAACACACACACACACACACAGTGTGCGTGCGTGTGTGTGTGTGTGTGTAAATATACACACACGGTGGTGCCTTTCAGGTGATCTGTCTATCCGGCCTCGTGACTGGTAGAGAAATAACAATTTCTTTAAGTTCAAAACCGATAGCAATCAGTTGCACACCTTTCCCCTCGCTTAATTCTCCAGTCTCGTGATTGGAAAAGATTCAACCCAATCTTTTCATTTCCACGGTTAGTGGAGATTTAATACGACTCCTCTTACTGGAGTCGTGATTGGTGGGGGATTTAATGCAGTATAACCTTCCACAGTCATGATTGGTGGAATTTTAATGTTCATATTTTTCGCGGAGCACAGTGATTGGTGGAGACTGAGTGACGCTTATTACCGCAACGCCAATGGTGATATTGAATGCTATATATATTCTTGCATCATCGTGATTGGTGGAGAATTAATGGGTATGTACTTGCGCAGAGTCGTGATTGGTGGAGGTGACGGGGACTGGAGAAAGTGGGGCTGCTGGTTAATAAACGAACAAGTTGTGTACAGGGATTGGGGGGAGGGGGGAGTGGAGGGAGAGGGGAAGATGGGGGGGAGGGAGGGGGGAAGATGGGGGTGAGAGGGGAAGATGGTGGGGGGAGGGGAAGGAGGGGTGATAGGTAAAACACACACACGATGATGTGTAAGAGAACAACCATCTATGACACGATGGAGAATTCAAGAAGGGGAAGTGAAAAGAGGGAAAAAAGCGAAGAAGGGAAGTAGAGAGGGAAGGTTACCTTGAGGTTACCTTGAGGTGCTTCCGGGGCTTAGTGTCCCCGCGGCCCGGTCGTCGACCAGGCCTCCTGGTTGCTGGACTGATCAGCCAGGCTGTTGGACGCAGCTGCTCGCAGCCTGACGTATGAAGGGAAAAGAGAGGGAAGAAAGAAGACGTAAAGGCAGGAATGCAAGGATGACGCTATATAAAATGGAAGAAAGAGTGTCGACAGAAACGAGAGAGGCTAGAACAAAGGGCACAACGCAACAGGAAAACATGACATAGGGGAGAGGAGAGGAATCGACAGGGATTACTGTACTAGGGGGAGAGGACAGGAAGCACCCTATCCGTCCTCTCCCTCTACCTATCCCTGAAGCAACAGAGGTTAGTAGGGACGGGGACATCAATCCATCATATCCCAATAATGACAAAATCAATCAATGCAATAAAGAAAGTGGAAGAGCCAACACACACATCTCCCCCCCCCCCCCAACAAAGAACTCCACTATTTACAAGAACCAATACACTGAAGACCTTCAGCCTCCTACAAGAAACTATCAACCCAGCCTCCAAAAATACATGTAACAGCTATTGATTGAACATACGACAATGGACTGTTCTGTCCAAATAGTTCGCATTTTGTACTACCATTTTGTACCACGCCTACCCACGTCACCCCTCTGTCACGCCTACCCACGTCACCCCTCTGTCACGCCTACCCACGTCACCCCTCTGTCACGCCTACCCACGTCACCCCTCTGTCACGCCTACCCACGTCACCCCTCTGTCACGCCTACCCACGTCACCCCTCTGTCACGCCTACCCACGTCACCTCTCTGTCACGCCTACCCACGTGACCTCTCTCCCAATGTACCGCCCACAAACCACTCGCGCAGCCCCTCCACGCCTTCGTGGTGGTTGCAGGGGGCGTGTGTCGTGGAGGCGTGTGTGTCGTGGAGGCGTGTGTGTCGTGGAGGGTCATATTAATCCGTCAGAGTGGGTGGTGTTGTGGGGCTGTGGGACGTCAGGTGAAGGTGAGTGGAGCTACATCACCTGGAGGCCATTACTCACCCCGGCCGCCACCTCGGACACCTCTACCACGCCTCTCCACCCCCCCCCCCCACTCCTCACTCAATGCAGTGAGTGCACTCGCGTGTGTGTGAGGGTAGAGCTCTAGCTCCCGGGATCACCTTTAGGCCGTGATCCATCTCCTTATTGTCGCTGGCAGTCTGTCATCCTCCAGTGACGTGAGGTTGTAATAACGATTACGAGCTTGGCCTGGTGGCTGAGTGGACAGCGCTTGGTATTCGTAGTCCTGGGGTTCCGGGTTCGATCCCCGGTGGAGGTGGAAACAAATGAGCAGAGTTTCTGTCACCCTGATTTCCTTGTTCACCTAGGGGTAAATAGGTACCTGAGAGTTAGACAGCTGCTACGGGCTGCTTCCTGGGGATTTGTAACAAAAAAAAAAAAGACTTGGTTGAGGACCGGGCCGCGGGGACGCTAAGCCCCGAAATCATCTCAAGATAACCTCAAGATATTGGCGCCTTATTTTGATTATTAGGAAATCATGTCGCTCAGCTCCGGGACCAATCTGATTACGTGAGGATTCAGATGTGGTGCTGCATATTCAAGGATTCGTCTCACATACGTGATGCACACCAGCCAACGCCCTGAAGTTTTCCGGTTTGTTCTTGCCTTAGTAGAGAGGTTCACTGTAAAGCCTATACTTTCCCTAACCCTTAGAGTTAATCAATGATATACTACTGAGTGTCCAGTCTTTTGACCCATCAGGACTGCCGTCATGAGGTACCTGGAGCTTGGATTCACTTGATCTACCTCTCGTGTTCTTGAGGATATCCTCATAATCTAGGATATCCTCATAAAGGCCACCGAAACAATGGGTATAAATTTGATAAGTTTAGATTTAGGAAAGACTTGGGTAAATACTGGTTCGGTAACAGGGTTGTTGATTTGTGGAACCAATTACCGCGTAAAAATGGTAGAGGTGGGGTCCCTCGATTGTTTCAAGCGTGGGTTGGACATGTTTATGAGTGGGATTGGGTGGTCATAGATAGGAGCTGCCTCGTCTGGGCCAATAGGCCTTCTGCAGTTACCTTTGTTCTTATGTTCTTATAATGCATGCAAAGTTTGCCATGCAGACTACTGATCACTTGGCCCTGTCTGCATGACTGACCATCCTGCGAGTTGGAGAGTTGTATCATAGTTCATATATGATCACATATATATATGATCATATATCATATAGCTCTTGACACTATGGAACCCTTCATAGTGTCTATGACAGCTGTATAAATGGGGAGATACCTTGTCATGCCAGTGATGAGCAGAGAAGTGACTGTTCTTACCTCCATATAGCTTGGTTTTGTTGTTCATTAAGACCTCCACACAGTGTTACATATACACTTGAGTCTGAAAATCTGGGGCTAGATTCACGAAAGCACTTACGCAAGCACTTACGAACGTGTACATCTTTCCTCAATCTTTGACGGCTTTGGTTACATTTATTAAACAGTTTACAAGCATGAAAACTTCCCATTCAACTGTTGTTATTGTTATAAACAGCCTCCTGGTGCTTCGGAGCTCATTAACTGTTTAATAATTGGAAACAAAGCCGCCAAAGATTGAGAAAAGATGTACAG